TTTCATTACTTACTGAAATGCATGGCACTTTAAGAAATTACAAGCATATTGCTATTTCAAGTGAGTAAGTCAGTTATTAGGTAGACTTGCTACCTATAGATTCTTCTATGTTAGAAACCAGGCCAGTTTCTATTGGTACATCATCAGATTTTGAGTTTTTTATTTTTTAAATGTGAATGTTACCTGTGAGAACTTCTGCACCTCTGAATATTTTTGCACCTTGTTTATTTTTTTAACATAATGTGTGTACCACTCAGTTGTAATAAAAAGCCCTCTAAACGGTTTACAAAAATATAAAACGAAACATGAAAATTCTTGATTAAAAGTTAGTTAAAACCAGGTATTTAAAAGCATTCGAAAGATTACTAAAATCAACAGATGCTGAGATAGGAGCTTGTTCTGCATCCAACGCAAAGTCTCTCTGCCGGTACCCCATTTTTGTATTCCATTCCTTGCCACTTGCCTCAGCTGCTTCCTCTTCCCTCTCCTTGCTCAAATATTACCACCATCTCAGAGTGGGCTGGGTGAAAAAGAGTAGGTGAGTTGCCCGTGAAGCCCCTCTCCCCATTTGTTGAATAATAAAACACACAGACACCAGTATTTGGGGTTAATGGGATGATTAAGGCCACAACTTTACTGGTTACAGAATGTGAGTGGTATTGGCTTAGGCACTGTAATTGAACCAACTATATCTGACTCCTGCCCGCCATGCAGGTAGTCTATTAAGAGTCAACCACCAGTAAGGGGAGCCCTGTTGATGTACATCAACTGAGGGCTCCCCCAGGAACCCTGTTGGGGTCGTGGCATGGCCCTAGCCCATACTCAGGCTTCAGAGATCCACACCCCCAAATCCCTTTAACGGAATACCTTTAAAGAGGAGGGGCAGGTGGGCGGCTGCTTAAATGGCCCAAGCCACACCCCCGGTTTACTGGATTGGTCGGCCATGGAGCCAGGTGCTCCCTGTGACACAGGTGGCATCGCCATGCCCCCCCCATGCATGGGGAGAATGCGTGGCCTGCCTGCAACACCGCCCCCCCCCCCAGGGAGGGAGAGCGACCCTAGCAGCTGTCATTTTCACCTACCATCGCTTCCTCTTCTTTGCCACCACTGGACACAAGGGAAAGATATGTGATGGCCATGTTAAATTGCATGTGCTAATAAATCATGAGTTTCTTTCATTCTCAATGGATGCATGCACTTTTTTAAAAAAATAGAAATACTTTAGATAAAAATATCATTTGGGGGGTGGGAGGGAAAGGAGGTAATGATGGCAGGAGAGACAGGAACTAACTTTCCTTCACTAGCAGTTGGCAGGAGAGAAAAATATATATACTGTAAATGGCCAAGCTGTTTATTCTTCACTCCCCCTCCCCCCCCCGGTTGGTTGGCAACTTTCTGGTTACTCATTTGGAAGTATAGAACTCTCATTATCATTATTCATGGCTCAATTAGCCATATTCATTATCTCTGTGTGTAGGTCTAGGTTTGTATAACCTCATGTAAACAGCACTCTTTTTTCTGATCTAATTATCATATATATATATATATATATATATATATATATATATATCTTACTTAGCATGCTTATTTTAGTCTTGCTCTCTAGAGGTTCTTAGCTTGTCATTGCCAGCTTCTCTCCTGCCCCCAACTCCACACACTGAACTTGATCATGGTTTTGGGCGTCAAATATAAGTAAGCATAAATGATTCAAAGAGACTTGCCTGATCTCAGGCTTGACAGTAGATACATATCAGCTCTGTGTCTCTGTATAGGGAGACTTTGTCTCTATTCTATCCAGGATATTTATTTATTTTTATTTTATTTATTTATTAAATTTCTATACTACCCTTCACCCAACGATCACAGGGCAGTTTACAACATAAAATCACAAAAAATACATAACATAGTAACAAACAAAACAATAAGACACACACCCCAACACAGAGAGGTTAAAAGGCCATATATTATTTAATTAGCTAAAGGCATGAGAGAAGAGGAATTTTTTCCCTGGCACCTAAAGATATGTAATGAAGGCTCCAGGTGAGCTTCCCTGGGGAAAGCGTTCCACAAAGGGGAGCCACTGCAAAAAAAAAAAAGAAAAAAAAAAGGTCTGTTCTCATGTTGCCACCCTCCAGACTCTCTGGACGGGGGGGCATATGAAGAAGGGCCCCTGATGATGATCTCAGAGTCTGGGTTGGTTCATATAGTGAGAGGTGGTCCTTGAGGATATTGAATCTTACAGCGGTCATTGCAACTCACAAGGCACATTTGAAATCCCATCTGACATAGTGACGGGCATTTTCGGTGTTAGCATGGGATCAATGTGAAGAGGCATGTTATGCAAAGATGCTGAATCCCTCATACTGGATTAGCTACGGAAAACAGAGCCAGTGTGTTGTAGTGGTTAGAGAGCTGGCTGTTGGATTTCTATACCTCTCACTGTGCAGATATGTAGGATTGGTTCATCACATGTCTGTGTTATGCATTCCAGCACCAACTGTTGGAATCACGGGAGTGGATGTTTACTGTACTCTGTTTCCGTTTGTTTTTGCTTTCACTTCTGACTTCTCTCCGCGGAAGACCAGAGAGAGGAGACATGTTTTCTTTTGTTCTGCCTTATGCTTAATAAAGTAGCTTTAGTGCTTACAACCTCAGCCTAGCTCTGACTGCGTTTATCTCTGCTGGACTCTGAATATGTGCTCAGTGTCTCCAAGACATGAGTCCTTATAAATCGTTGGGGAAGGTGATTCAGAGCTCCTTAGAGCTACACACTGATGGGAGAGACAGGCTGGAATCATTCCTGTTGTATGCCTGGGGGTCGTCTTAGCCTCTGGCTGACCTGACACTGGCTTGGGGCCTAGGGAAACAGATTCAAATCTCTACTTGGCCATGTAGCTCACTGGGTGACCTTGGACTGGTCATCTTCTCTCAGGCTAATATGGCCCCCAGCCTTGTTCAATAAAATAAAGTTTTTGCACAAAATATACTCACCCAGTTTTTTGAGTCACTGAGATGCCAATTGCACCTGCGAATGTCTGCAAGCCTTAGTAGACGGACTGAATGGCAACACTCAGTCAAGGATTTTTGGATATCCATTCTCAGGGCCAGCCCACCTATTAGGCATGGTAATGTGGCTGCTTCAGCATGACAGGCTCCCAGAGGCACTGCAGCTGGGCTGGGCACTCATGACCCACCGCTGGGGGTTCACTGCTGCTGCTGCTGCTGCTGCTGGGTGCTCTCCTCCTCCTCCTCCAGCTCCTGTGCTGCTGTAGTTGTATCCCCTCACCACTGCAGTCACTTCACCTCCTCCATGGCCCACCCATTGCTGTGCCTCCTCCTCCTCTGCCTGGAGGTGGGCAGCTAAAAAAGCCAATGCAATTCTGGGCTGCATCAATAGGAGTATAGCATCTAGATCAAGGGAAGTAATAGTGCCACTGTATTCTGCTCTGGTCAGACCTCACCTGGAGTACTGTGTCCAGTTCTGGGCACCACAGTTCAAGAAGGACACTGACAAACTGGAACGTGTCCAGAGGAGGGCAACCAAAATGGTCAAAGGCCTGGAACGATGCCTTATGAGGAACGGCTAATGGAGCTGGGTATGTTTAGCCTGGAGAAGAGGAGGTTAAGGGGTGATTTGATAGCCATGTTCAAATATATAAAAGGATGTCACATAGAGGAGGGAGAAAGGTTGTTTTCTGCTGCTCCAGAGAAGCGGACACGGAGCAATGGATCCAAACTACAAGAAAGAAGATTCCACCTAAACATTAGGAAGAACTTCCTGACAGTAAGAGCTGTTCGGCAGTGGAATTTGCTGCCAAGGAGTGTGGTGGAGTCTCCTTCTTTGGAGGTCTTTAAGCAGAGGCTTGACAACCATATGTCAGGAGTGCTCTGATGGTGTTTCCTGCTTGGCAGGGGGTTGGACTCGATGGCCCTTGTGGTCTCTTCCAACTCTATGATTCTATGATTCTATGATTCTATGAGACCAACCTGACCCTGGCTCATGCATTCAGAAAAACAAACAAACAAACAAACCAAAAACCCCAGAGTTCTTTGTCCACAAAAACCCAGAAGTGTCAACAGCAACTTTTTAAATAAATGATGCATTGAGACTTTCCAGGACAGAGTAAGAAACAAAATCAAAACAAACTAGTAAAGAAAACTTCCAGAGAAAATGAAAAGAATGTCTTAATAATGTCCATTTCATTTAATGTTTTCAGTCCCACAAACTACAGACAATACTTTGAAGGTTCACAAAGTGTAAATGGATTGCCAATAAAATAGTAATAATAAAAATGATCAGGGCAGGGACTGTAGATGTTATATTGATTTTATCAAAGGGTGCTGAAGAGATGTGCTTTTATTAACTTACTCTCTATTTTCCCACAAAAGTAATAGTATCTAATTCATATCTCCTAATGCTGTAATAGAGATCTTTCTTGCGGAATCCATAAGCATTTTGAAGGCTTAGCTAAGTGCCCTTGAATATGAAGTTGCAAAACTTTTCTTGTTCTTGATTCGCATGGAGTGAACATGATGCATTAACAGTAGTGACATTGTTGGCAACTACTCTGTTGTAGACTAAAGAGTACCTTTTCCATGATGCTGTTTCATCTAGACTTTTCCCTCCACCCTCTATTTTAAGAACACTTTTAAGGACAAATGTGAACCCATATGGGGCTGGCAAGGTACTTGGATATGCCTCAGAGGACCTGATCATCTGTAAGGCTGATTTAGCTGACAGGCACAAGAGATGTGGCTTTTTCCGTGATGGGACCCCCCAAAAAACCCTTCTTTATAAAGAAACAGGGTTCATCTGAACCCTTTCTTCAAAATAAAGCAGTACTGATTGTCTCATTAGCACGTGAAATGTTGGTGTCATGGATAGTAATTTCTCTGTATAACTCTTGTATGTTGTCTACTGCTCCCATTGCATTGCATAATGACAACCCATCTACTCCCCACCTATCACCCACAAATATCTCCATTCTTTTTGCTTGCAGAACCTCCCACGCCTATTGCACCTCCAGAACTTCTAGCAGTTGGAGCCACCTATCTATGGATCAAGCCAAATGCCAACTCCATCATTGGAGATGGACCTATCATCCTGAAAGAGGTGGAGTACCGTACGACCAATGGGAACTGGGCTGAAACCCACATTGTTGATTCACCCAATTACAAGTTATGGCATCTAGACCCCGATGTGGAGTATGAGATCAGAGTGCTTCTTACCAGACCTGGAGAAGGAGGAACTGGACCTCCTGGACCTCCGCTCACAACAAGAACAAAATGTGCAGGTAAGTCATATTGATTTTAAGACTCTGTGAGTGTCATACAAACAGGGGCATGTTATGGTAAAGGCTGATTTTCTGTTGACCAAATAATCAGATGTAGTACATGGCCCAAGTAAGTTCCTCCACTCTTATTGTACTTCCCCTGCCTGCTGCATATTTCCCGCCCCCTCATTTTTTTAAAAAAAGAGGATATGTATTTCATTTTATTTTCTTATGACCTTATGCCCATCCCTATCCCATAAGTTCAGGTTGTTTTATAATCAGTGCTTTTTTCCTAAAAATAATGTTTAGGGGTACTCTCATTTTCCTACTCGTATTGAAATACTGCCCATCAATGAGACCAAACTTAGATTCACAAAAAAATTAGGGGTATGCGTACCGCTGCACCCCCCCTCAAAAGCACTGTTTATAATATATTGAAAAGTTTAAAATGTATGAACTGTAGTACAATATAAATGACTCTGCTTGTAATCACATTGGTGTATTCCATTTTGATTTGCACACACACACACACAGTCACTCACATAATGTGAGAAGGAACACATGGCAATGCAAGTGATGTGGGTTGCTTTTTTCTTATATTTCCTTCAAAAAAGAATCGGGGATCATTGGGCCTCAAGACAGAGAAGTAAGTCAGAGAACAGGGGTTTTGACTAGAGTTTTTCATTGTACTTCCACTTCTTGGACGGCTCTTTCAAGAGTCTTCTCATTGTGATGAGACTTATGTAAGAAGAGTCAGTCCATGTCATGTATGATAAACTGCATAATACGGGGGGGCCACTAGGGGGTGCATCGGAAGATGGCTGACAATAACATCTCTCCGACCCACACGAGGTAATTTGGAGGCTATGATGGGAGTAATTAGCCTCCCTAACCCCCCCAGGACGGTGGGGGGGACTGCCTTTGCCTGCTGTGCCCTATACCACCCCCGAACTTGTGGGGATGGGGGCACTAGGCACAAAGCCCTCCTGTGGGATTCCGGCACTCCTGGACGCCGTCCCTGATTCGCGCCACTAGCTGCTTGAACTTCAAAAGAAAACAATTTGGATGAAGGAATGCACATATTTCAAGGAAGGAGGGGGATTAAAGACTGCTATAGAAGAGATCTCTGATAAAACAAGACAAGAATAAAACATGAGAAGATACGCCAAGACACGGTATGGCAAATGACTGATGGGGGAGGGGGGGGGGAAACCTTTCCTTTCTTTTCTTATGTGATTAACAAGAATCCCCTCCCCTCACGAGTCACGAGTCAGAAATGCCGTTTTAAGGACTTAAGCTGTGGATTTAAGGCTGTGTGGAGATAAACTTTCGAACCAAAGCATGTTTTAAGAAGAGCGAGGAATGTATAAGAGCTTGGGAATGACGCAGTTAAAAATGCCGTCGCCATATTGGGAAGTTCTGTCGGAGGTCTTGAGTCTGGGAGGAGAAAGAGAGAAATAGAGCTGTTTATATATTGTGGGTGAAACTCCTCAGAGGGACTTAAGAGTGACAGCTTTGCGAGATGGAAAGAGTGATGTTATCTATGTAGGCGATGATATATGGAAACCATCTCGATTTGAGGAATGGAAGAACGGAAAATTCACACAGGATTATTATTATTATTGGTGTTTATCGGCTTAAGGAGACTATCAGAAGAGATCATAAAGAAAAATAGAGAAAATATATAAACAAGATGTGATGTGGAAACAGCAAGATAAGACTGGATAGAATTATGAACTCTGTTTGGACTGATTTGGACTGATTTGGACATTAACGCAGTAGCAAGAAGATGATCAGAATCCCCCTTCGGATCTTGAAATATGCGTCCCCCCAACAAAATTTAAAATTCGGCTTTGTAATTCGGAATTTATGTGATGTGATTTAATTTGATTAATAAAAATTATTTTTTTAAAAAAAGATAAACTGCATAATACAACACTGTTAAATCAGCTTGTCCTCTGGCGTATCAATATTCTGTTTCTGAATTTATGGTTTCTGTGTAGAAAACTGATAGTGGGACTTTAACATTGTACTCTAATGGACACATTCACCTTACTGCATAGGGTTTATGGACAGTTTTAAGGATGAACATGAAGGACAAAACAATGGGGCTTCTTCTGCTACCTTTTCATTGTTATGTCAGTAGTACTAGTAGCATGAGAATTTGGAGAGTTGCGGTGTAACACCAAGCACTGTAAGTGGGCCCTTGCAGGGGGGGAGGGGCAGCTAGGTACACTTGTCCTGGGCCTCAGAGGGCAAAGCCAGTTGGAGCAGCGTGTGGGGCTTCCAGGGTTCTGTTGGACTTAGGCTGTCATGCGAAGCACACCCCATGCCTCCCAGTCAACCAGGGACTCCCGACCCTGGGCCTCAGACAAGCTCTACATGGGCCTGACTATAAACATACATTCAGAATATGCACTGTCCTGGTTTGCATGTTGTGGTATGTCAGACTATGGTTTCCTGGGACCACACGAACTTGCAGGCTACTTAAGAGATTCTTGTAGCCACTCTGCTCATCCCTGGCCTTCTTTGCTCTCACACTAAGCTAAGCTAAACTAAACTAAAGCCAAGGTTTGGTTTGGTTTGGTTCACTATACTATCTGAACCAGACTCATGGTTAATCACTCTCCTCCCTAACCACATGGGGCAGCCAAGAATAAACCTTTACAGTCATACCTCGGGTTGAATATGCTTCATGTTGAGCGCGTTGCGCTCCGCGGCAACCTGGAAGTAACGGAACGCGTTACTTCTGGGTTTCGCCGCTCGCACATGCGCAGACGCTCAAAATGATGTCACGTGCATGCGCAGAAGTGGCGAAAAGCAACGTGCGTGTGTGCAGACGTGCCGTCGCTAGTTACGTTTGCTTCTGGATGCGAACGGGGCTCCAGAACGGATCCCGTTCGTATCCAGAGGTACCACTGTATATTTTTTGGAGAAGACAGTGAGAAGTGATTCACACTGTCTTTGAGTAGGCTATCATCTCTATAGTGGCACTCCATAAAAGAATGATGGAGACAGTAACAGCCAGAGCTCTGCGAAGCAGGTGACTTTTTAAAAAAGTGGTTAAATAATCATTTGCAAAATAAAAAGGGTGGGGAAGGTGAAAAGCTTCCCTTCCCCAATGCAAACCCACTTCTCATATTGGGGGATGAATTGTAGGCCTTGAAAGTGCACTCAAAGGGGCACCCTCAACAGGCAATGGATGGCTGGATGGGCTGGTTGAATTGAATGTGGCCACTTCTGCCCTGAGCTCAAACTCTGTGAAAACTTTGAGCCAGATCTTGCTTCACTGGTGGTCTTGGAATATAGCTCAGGTCTTTCCTCTTAGCACCCTGGTGTGGGTTGTTGTTGTTTTGCTTTTGTTTTAATGTATTACAGGCAGTAATTAGCAGGTAGCTTTCAGAAGCTAGAGGGGAAGGACAGGTTTTCTATCGTTGTTGCTGGTGGTGTGAGAGGCGCAAAAAAAAAGTGGAAAAAAAACAACTATCATCCCAACAGGCTCGTTATCTGAGAACATGCCAGTCTCATCTTCTGTAAATCCTCCAACGATGAAGTCACTGTCAAATCCAACAGCCTGAAGCCAAATTTTGTGTTGTAAAAGATTGTTTCAAATGACTCTAGTGGAAAACAGAGTGATTCCGAAAAGTCAAAGCTGCTAGAGATGGGAGGCTGGTTGCTTTATGAAACAGGATACTTGCGGTTGAGACTTGGTTGCCCGTCACAGCTCACAGTTTTTAATGTGAGACTTCACTATTCACAAGAGCTGACAGTTAAATGACAGGATGTGCATGTCCTACAAAGTAATCTGATATGATACTCTGCATCTGCTGGGCTTCGTGCACCTTCCATTTTAGTGTTGAATCTCCCCCGCCCCCAGAAGTATTTAATGCTGCCATAAGTTGGGCAATAAAAAGGAGAATTTCCAGCATTTGTCTGGTTCTCATAGAGAAGAAAACCCATGGTTCAACATTTGTTTTACTGTACAGGAAACATTTATAAGAATATTGAATTACAGAAAAACTACAAGAATTTCAAATCTCACACTTATTCAAATCTCAGGGTTTTCTAGAGGAAACAAAAAGTTGCCCATTCTTAATAAGAGAGCAATCCAGATAAATTAATAAAGGTTTTACTGTTGTAACAATTGTTTTCTCAAAATGTATCTTCTGTATCATGGAAATAAATAAAAACAGTATTATTATTATTAATAATAATAATAATAGTTTTTATGTTGTCACCAACAACATTTGGATGTAGCCCACCTTTGCACAGGCTAACTAGCATTGGTACAGTTAAATATTAAATTGGGTAGTGGAAAAGAGTCACGTAGACAGTAATAGATAATTGACATTTGCTCACTTGCCACCTGTCTTTTCTTGTTGAAGAAAAATTCACCATCACAGAGATTTCACTTAGGTAGTGTCATGCTCCATTATTTGCTTTTTGATGAGAATGAGAATTGAGACGGAAGTTCGCCAGTTTCAGATCATGAGCCTTCCCTATGTCAATACAATTGATTAAATTTCTTGGCTCTGAAGACAGAATAGCATGATAAATACCATTCCCTAAGTATGTCTTCAGCAGTTACTATCATTATCATTATATATATATAATTTTATCCTGCTTTCCCCCCTAATTTCAGCTGTTACAATAAAAAAACAGCACAGCAGCCACCCTTTTATTAAAACCAGTCAATTCCCAAAAGCCTGTTAGAAGAAGAAAGTCTTCACCTGACAGCAGAAAGACAGCAAAGATGGAGCCAGTCTAATATATTTAGGTAGGGAGTTAAGCCTGGGAGCAGCCACCGAGAAGGCCCTGTCCCACATCCCTACCAAGTATACCTGTGAGGGTGGCCTCTCTACCTGACCCTTGGGTCTCACTTCAGATGACACCCTCTCTCCTCAGGCCATAGCCCTCACTCATCCTGCTTTGTAACCCAAACATTTTTGCTTTGCTGGAATATGTCAATGAACCATGATAGTGCTCCTTATTTGCACAGCAGGATGAGAGAGGTGTGTGAG